GAAATTCTTGCTTCCTATTTTTTTCCTGGAACATGTGATTTCCTAGATTTTTAGATGACAAAGCTCTTATTAATATGTAAATACAGCTCTTAAATTTTCATTAATTCTGAGACTATATTTAGAATAAAATACCAATTTTTCTTGTTAAAAACAGCAGGTATATAATTTTTAGGTATTAATGATTTCTAAGATTTTGTTAATAAAAGCCATTATGACATATTACAGTAGAATCAATCTTAAAATGTTCGTTCTAGAAGAAGATGAATTCACTTTACTTTTAAACCAGTGTTTATTTTTTCCTCACTTTGGTTGTAGTTTTTTATGTAATAAAGAGTTTAGAAAGGAAAAGGATATGATTTTCAGTTTAATAGAATTCTCTTGAAATTGCTTTCAGCTTGAATTAGTAAAAGGAATATTGATAGAAAGCATCTCAGGTACCAAAACTGAATCTTTTTTTTTTTTTTTTTTTAAATGTAGGGGAGATAGGCAGATTGTGACTCCCAGGCATCCCCCAAAGAGGGCAGGTCACCTTAGGGGTCTTTAAAGATCTTTTATTATCTTCAGATAATTAGTTACTTTCCCAAACAACTTCTAATTTTGAAATTATTTTAGACTTAAAGAAGAATTGTAAAAACAATACGGTCCTCATAGACCCTTCACCACACCCTTCAATGTGAACACCTTACATATCAAAACCAGGCGGATTACGGTGTGTGAGGAAGACTTAACCAAGCTACAGTAGCACATGGATTTCACCAGTTTTCCCCCAGGATCCATCCTTGGGTCCTGTGTGACATCCATTTGTCCGGTCTCCTTAGCTTCTTCCACTCTGACAGCTCCTCAGTTTTTCCTTATCTTTTATGACCTTGGGACACTTAAAATAAATTTTAGTGAGATTGATGCACTTACCATAAAATTCACCCTTTTAAAGTATATAATTAGTGGTTTTTAGTGTATTCACAGGCCTGTTTAACCATCATCACTATGTAATTTCAGAACATTCTTATCACCCTAGACAGAAGCCCATGATCATTAGCTCTCTCCCTTCCCTCTCCCTGACCCTTGTGCCCACCAGTTTGCCTTCTGTGCCTGTGGATTTTGACCCTGACAAAATCCTCAGAGAGAGTGGTCAGATCCTTTATAGAATGTCTCTCTCTATGTTTGTTTGTCTGATGTTTCTCATGTTTGGACTGAGGTTGTGCATGTCTAGAAGGAGTGTGCCGGTGACTTACCCTCCTAAGTGTGTCATGTTGGGGGCACATGGCACCCTGAAGCTTCTCACTGGTGGTTTGGACCTTGATTTCTCTGGTTGGGTTGGAGTCTGCTAGGTATCTCCGCTGTAAAGTGACCTGTCTTTTCCTCCATAACTGACAAATGTTCCAGAGGATACTTAAAGGCTATGGAACTGTCCTGAGGTTTCTCCTCGAATTTTCACCCCTGATCTGGGCATCCATCTGTGGATCTTGCCATTGGTGGTTACTGCTATGTGGTCTGGCAGTGATGCCCTCTTTCCTTCACTTCTTCCACATTTATTAATTGCAGTTCATTCATAAGGAAGAGTTGTTCCTCTCCTCTTTTAATTTAACCACTTATTTATATCAGTGTGGGCTCATACATACCTACTTTATTTGGGAGGTTATAATCTAATACTATTGTTATTCATTTTGTTGGCTTAAATTGTTCTGACTTTGGACGTGTTGGGTTGGCTTCTGTGTCCTTTCAGCATGATCCTGTTCTTTTTACTTTTGAACACTATCATTCTTTCTTTGTTCTCCTGCCCCATTCCTGTCACTTCCCAGGAACCTTGGCTTCTCTTGGTGGAGAGTAGTATTTGGAATCTGGGATGGTGGGTATGGCCTCTGCTGCATGTAGGTCCCATGTTCCCTTTTGTACCTGTGTTCAGTCCCTCTCAACAGCTCTGTGCTTGCATGGACACCTGCAGCTCCAGCCAGCACCAGGGCTCTTCTGGCCACCCCTCTTGGGCTGTGTATTCCTCTGCAGCATGTTCTCCTGTTGTGTATGTGATGTGTTTCAGAATTGCTGTCCCACACCTGTGTGAGCAGCAGACTTACCATCCAGGGTAGGATGTTCTGTGCATTTCTCTTTGCTCCCATGTTTCATGTGTCCAGGCATCACTCAGTTCAACCTTCCTTGCTACTCATCTGGGATGCAGACATGTTTGCTGGTCTTTACTGGGCTCCCTGCATCTGTTGGTTGTTTCTTTTTAATTTGAATACCGTTAAATTTGCTCTTGCTGACTGTGGTGGCTCACACCTGTAATCCCAGCACTTTGGCTGAGGTAGGAGGATTGCTTGAGGCCATAGTTTGAGGCCAGCCTGGGCAACATAGCAAGACCTCATCCGTACAAAAAAAATTAAAAAATTAGCTGGATGTTACAGCATGCACCTATAGCCCCAGCTACTTTGCAGGCTGAGGTGGAAGAATTGCCTGAGCCCAGGAGGTCAAGGCTGTGTCGAGCCATGATTGTGCCACTGTGCTCCAACCTGGATGACAGATTGAGACCTTGACTCCAAAAAAAATTTTTTTTTGCTCCTGTCATAAACAGTTCTATGGACTTTACCAGATTTGTGGAGTAGTGTTCTACAACTGCAGTACCAAATAGTACAGTTCATCTCCCCCAAAACTCCCTCACTCTGCCCTCAGCCCCTGGCTGCCACTGATCTGTTTTTGATCCTGGTAGTTTTGCCATTCCTAGAATGTCTTATAAATGGAAATATACCATATATAGACTTGTTTCTGGCTTCTTTCACCTGGCAGAATGCACATAAGATTCATCCCAATGGTCATTCCTTTTTGTGCTGAGTGGTGTTTTGCTGTATGGACATGGAGGTCATAGGCCTGACATGGTCTACCTTTGTGTCACCATTCCTTTCTGGAGGACTGAGGGAAGGTTCTTTCCTTAGCTTTTCTATTTCCTAGAGTTTCCCACATTCATTGGCTTGTGGGTTCTCCCTCCACCTTCACATCAGCCACTTCTGGCTGTAGCCTTCTCACTCTGTGTATTTTGTTCTCCCTCCTTTGCCTCTGGTGTACATTTTTAAAAATTATCTATCTATCTATCTATTTATCTATCTATTTATCTATCTGTCTATCTATCTATCTATCTATCTATCTATCTATCTATCTATCTATCTATCTATCTATCTATCTATCTATCATCTTTCTAGAAAGAGTCTTGCTATGTCGACCAGGCTGGACTCAAACTCCTGCTTCAGCTTCCGTAGTAGCTGGGACTATAGGCACGACATCATGCCCAACATCTGTTTTTATTTGTAAGGATTCCTTTTGTTTTTCCCCAGTTGAAGTCTCACTCTGTTGCCCAAACTGGAGTGCAGTGGCACACTCCCGGCCAACGCAGCCGGGCTCTGGCGATCTTTCCACCTCAGCCTTCCAAATAGCCGGAACTACAGGTGTGTGCTACCACGCTCAGCTAATTTTTTATTTATTGTAGAGATGAGGTCTCACCAAGTTGCCCAGGTGGGTCTCAAACCTGCGGACTCAGGCAATTCACTTGCCTCGACCTCCCAAAGTGCTGGGATTACAGGCTGAGCAACCAAGCCCGGCCTGTAAGGATTCTTGATTACACTGGGATAATCTAGGGTAATTCCCCCAGCTTTAGGTCAAATGATTAGCAGCCTTAATTCTTCTTTGTTGTGTAAGGGAACACTTTAGAAGGTTCTGGGAATTAGGACATGGGCATCTTCAGGAAGGGGCATCATTCTACCGATCATAAGCATTTAGAGAGGTGTGGTGTGGCTGGATGCAATGGTTGGATTCAGGACTTTGTTGCTGTTTAAGCTAGAAGATGTTAATATGCCAATGGAACGTCCCAAGGATTTGGTGGGATAAGGAGGGTGGAGAACAGGAACGAAGTCTGAGGTCACCTGCATGGGTGGAGAGTAGGCCTTCATTTGTCTCAGGAGGAGGCAGCAGGAGCTAGAGAGCCCAGGGTACCCTGTTTCCCACACACAGAGGCTCCCTGGTTTCTCTCACCTTCCCTGAAACAAAGCAGAGCACTTGTCCCCTGAAAAGACCCTGAAACCTCTGACCCGGGCAGTGCTTGCTGCTATGGACATCACAGTCTTGCATGTCTGAAATTCTTTCTTTTACATCTTCTGTATAGGCTAAGATGAGGTGTGGACTCTCAAGCCTCATGCAGAAACAACAGCCCTTCTGTACCCTGCCCCACACCTTTTGCTTTCTGTTCTACTGGAGCAAAACAGCATCCAGTGATGTCCATAGTGCATTGTGGTTTATTCACAGTAACGAACTTTGATGATCTAATGAAAATATTTAAATGAAGTCTGAGAAGAGTATTGGAGAAGGCTTTGTTTTCCCTGATTATGTCTTGGGGGTGACGTGGTCTCAGCCTCTGTGGGCCTTTGTGTGGCTCCTAGTAGCTGTTTTCTGTGCTTGGTCAGGTGGTTTCCATGGTGACCTTCTGGAAGGGGCTTCTGCAGGCTGAGCTGCCTTCAGGGACTCTGGGACACCCTGGGTGCATGTGGGTGTCTATGCAGTCTTATGATCCACTGAGTAAAGCACATGCTGCCTGGCATGGTCTGAAGGACTTGGGTAGCCTCAGCCTGGGGGTGTCCACCAAGACACTATCTGTTCTCATCTTTTGGGGTACCTGTTTCTACTTTTTCCTTTTGTTGGATCCCCTTTCCCAACACCCCCACAGCAGGCCAGGAGTATTCTGTCTGTCCCTGGCCTGGTACACATAGCTCTTCAACCCATGCCTTCCATGTGCACCATCGTGGACCCTGGTTAGAGTTGGGGTCAGCTACCCCCATCTCCCACGTGACGCCTGATGTCTTGGATGGTCATTTGTATCTGTCTACCATCCCTGGTATGCTCTGAACCATAGGTGTGCCTGATTTGTGAATGAGCTTGTGGAAGAGAAAAGCCTTCTTATTGACATCATGTGGTCTGTATTCTTTTGCAAATTTCCTCTTATTAATTATTTCTCTTTTTCACAGTGCACTGGTAATTGCTGCAGTGTTTGACCGAAATGTAAACTGCAGAAGAGCAGCCTCTGTAAGTTTTTCATTTGATGTTTCTTTTCAGTAAGGTGGGGTGGGCTCTCACTGTGATGGTCACATCAGCTGCGCAGAGCCATGGTCTACCAGATGCTGCCCTGTGTGCTGTACCCTGATGACCTCTCCTGTCCACAGCATGGGCAACTCCAGGCATGGTATTATGCGGCCGACTGCCTGGTCTTACTCATTCTGGGTTTCCTGAGTGCATTTAGCTTGTGAGGTTGGGTCGGGATTAAATCCCCTTACCTAAGCATTCTGAGAAACTGCAGCCATCATGGGTGGGTGTCCTTGACTGACACTGGCAAATGGGACAGTGTTCATTGACCAGTCTTAGCTCAGGGCATCCTGTGCTCTGAAGAAACAGAAGAAAGTGGATTCTGTGTTTGACCTGAATGTGACAGCAAAATAGGTCACTTAACAGGCCTGTGGGACTTGTTCATTTTGAACACTGATGCTTGGACTCCCCCAGAGAGAACCCTGTGTTGTTTGGGGTGGATCCTGGATGTTGAGAGCTTTAGCAAGCTCTGTGGTACCTCAGAAAGGCCCTGACCAGGAGCTTCCTTTCTGACTGACCTGACCACTGCTTTTGACTTAGAGCAGGGGTGTGGTAAGGCCAGATCTCTCTAAATAGTAGAAACTGGTAACTGAGACCACAGACCAGTCTGGAGATTCAAACACAGACACGAAGCTGCACAGGTTTTATGAGGTTAAGAATGCAGAGACAGTGCTTTGAGAAAGATGTAGAGGTGAGGTTGGCTTCAGTGACAGGAGTGGTACCATTGGCTACCCTCGGGCTCTAACTGCTGGAACTCTGGGTTCTGGTCTCAGCATAGTCGGTGTTAGTGGAAGACTGTAGGAGGCCCCATTGGGCTGTCAGTCTAGGAGACTGGTGGAGCTAAGGGCCAACTCAGGGGCTAGGTTGGAGGGCTGTCCAGACCTGATGAAGATTTTCTGTTAGCTCCTGCAATGTGGCCTTGCTGAACAGGATATTGATGAAGTATGAGTTTTCTCTAAAATGCAGGAGCTCAGGTAATATCTGAGGGCTTTTCTGTGATCTATTATAGCTTCTGGTGACTTGTCTTGCATCCTGTATCCTAATGTTGTTAGGATATGGTCTTTCTCTGCCTCAAGTGCTTTAATTCTTTGAGAGAACTTACCAGGAAGGCTCAGAAACTCTTCTTTGTTCCTGTAGTTGCTCTTATTTTGTCTTAAGCATCAGTGGAAAGTCAGTAATTCCTTGTGAAGTCGTCATGTTTTTGCCCTAATATTTACCCAACAGGCAGTACTTGTAAGGCTCTTTGAAATATAATAAAATTTTGTTAAATGTGTACTTAAAAATTAACTTTTGTATATTCTTTACTGTAACCGAAGACATTTTTATGGGGAATAGTAATAAAATCAAAGCACTTATGCCTTTATAAACCTTGAGGATGAGGTGAAATAAACAGTATAAACCATTTTTTCTTTTTCAAGTTAAAATTAAAATCTTTTAAATTGGCAGAAAATTCTTTCCATTAAATACCATCTAAGTGCGCCCCTGCTTACTTAGTTGGTTGCAAAATTAAAACAGTGAAAGAGACCTGGGGCCTCTTTGCATTGCTCCTCTGCCATGGTGCTCCTCACGTTTCAAGATAAATAATGAATACAATGGTCTTGGATCCCATGTTTGTTGTAATCCTTACAGCAGCCCTGTGAAGAAGGTGATCTAGTCAGTTCTCACGTGTCTGGGGCATGTAACAGAATGAGGCCTAGGGACCCACGTTGGTAAATATGTGAGTTTGTGAAAAAAAATTATGTTGTTGAATTCTAGTTGTTCTACATATTAATTAGAAGGTTTCTAGCAGCCCCAAAATGTGTTGACATTATGAAAAGATGTCTCCCCAAGCGAGAAAGGAGGACTAGTGAAGATGGGGTATCACTGTAGCTTCTTGTGAGAGGTTTAAGATGGTGGGTGGGGCCTTGCTTCTCTAACAGTTAAAATGAAGGCATTTAAAACCTCCGTTTAATTGAAAAGTTTTCCTCTTTTTTACCCAGCACTTCATTTGAGGTTTAATGTCTAAGCTCTTAAGTTACTACATAATTGAGATTCACATGCAGTTTTAAGGAATAATCCAGACACACGCTTCTCATCATCCCCCAGTGGCAAAAACTGCAGTGTAACATCACAACCCTGAAATCAATGTTGATACAACCTGCTGATCTTAATCGTATTTCCTTGATTTTACTTGTACTCATGTGTCTGTGTATATGTGTGTGCATTTAGTTTTGTATGCTCGTGCCACGTGCAAATTCATGTATGCACCGCAAGATATACAACACTTCCATCACCACAAGGATCCCTGTGTCATCCTTCTTTGCCACAGTCACCTCTTTCTCATGCTGTCTCCTAATCCCTTGCAACTATTCATCTGCTTTCCATCCCTGTAATTTTGTTGTTTCAAGAATGTTATTTAAATGGAGTCATATGGTATTTAGCCTTTTAGTTGTTTTCACTCAGCACAGTTTCCTGGAGCCTCGTTTAGATTGTGTGGGCAGCAGTAGTTCGTGACTGTTTATTGCTGAGTGGCACTACAATCTGTGTAGCCATTATCCACATGTTGAGGACGTCTGGGTTGTTTCTAGTATGGACTGTTATGAATTAAGCTGCTGTAAACATTGTGTTCAGGTTTTTGTGTAAACATAGTTTCTATTTCTCTGGGATAAACATCAAGAGTACAATTGCTGGGACATGTGGTAGTTGAATGTTTAGTTCCCTAAGAAACTGCCGAACTGCTTTCTAGGTTGTTGTGGGACCATGAAGTGGTGCAGCCACTCTATCGGCCGCCCTGTTTCTCCCTGTTCTCACCAGCATTTGATGTGGTCACTGTTTCTTGTTTTAGCTTTTCTAATAGGTGTGTGGTGATACCTCATTGAGATTTTAATTTGCATTTCCATCATGGCTAATGATGTTGAGCATCTTTTCATGTGCTTATTTGCCATCTATAGATTCTCTTTGGTGAGATGTCTATTCATACCTTTTGCCTGTTTTCTAATTGTATTTATTTTTTGTTGAGTTTTTTGTTTGTTTTCTTTTTTTCTTGAGTTGGGATTTCACTCTGTCACCCAGGCCAGAGGACAGTGGTGTAATCACGGCTCACTGCAGCCCTGACCTCCTGGGTTCAGGTGATCCTTCCACCTCAGTCTCCTGAGTAACTGAGACTACATTGCCACCACAGCCAGCTATTTTTTTTTTTTCCCAGTCAGTGTCTCACTCTGTCATCCAGGCTGGAGAGTTAGTGGCGTGATCATGGCTTACTGCAACCTTGACCTCCTGGGCTCAGGCAATCCTTCCACTTCAGTCTCCTGAGTAGCTAGGGCCTTAGGCGTGTACCACCATGCCCAGCTAGTTTTTTAATTTTTTTGTAGAGATGTGGTCTCGCTCTGTTGCCTGGGCTGGTCTCAAACTCCTGGGTTTAAGCAGTCCTCTTGCTTTGGCCTCCCAAAGTGCTGGGATTACAGGCATGAGTCACTGCACCTTGCCCCAGCTAATTTTTAAAAATTTTTAAGAGATGAGGTCTCACTATGTTTCCTAGACTGGTCTCCAATTCCTGGGCTCTGGTGATCCTCCTGCCTTGGCCTCCCAAAGTGCTGGGATTAAGGCATGAGTCACTGGATCTGGCCTGTTACTGAGTTTTAAGAGTTCTTTGCATATGCTAGGTACTAGTCCTTTATTGGATGTGTGGTTTGCTTTCTCTTGGTCTGTAGCTCATCTATTTATCCTTTTAATAATGTCTTTCACAGAGCAAGAGTTTTTAATTTTGATGAGGTCTAGTTGATCAATTTTTTTTCTTTTGTAGATCATGTTTTCATTGTCAAGTCTAAGAACTCTTCGCCTAGCCCTGGATCCCAGTGGTTTTGTCTTGTGTTTTTTTCTGTTCTATTCATTAGTCTGTGTGTCTCTCTTGTCAGTGTACACTGTCGTGACTACTGTTGTGTGTAGTCAGGCTTAATATTGGGTAAGGTGATTACTCCAAATTTCTTCCTCTTTTTCAGGATTTTTTTACCTAATCTAGGGCTTGTGCTTTCCACATAAATCTTGTATTATTTTTTACCTTTTAGATGATGTTACCAGAATAGTAAATGTGTTCCTAAATACTGTATGCTATTTTTGTTGGCATTACAGTGTATCTTTTTTGCATTGCCTTTGATTGGTTTTGTTTGTTTCTTATTTCCTTAATGAATTTATTGCAAGAGTTATAAAATAGCAAACAAAAAAAATCAAGCCTCCTTCATCTCAGTTTAAAAGCCATCCAGGAGATGCCATCTCCTTGTGAGATGTCATCTCCTAGTAAGATGCCGTCTCCTCATGAGGTACTATCTCCTGTATCTCCATCCCAGCCACTAGGTTTCTCCTGGAGATAACTATTTGCTTGCTTTTCTGTGTGACTGGCCAAAGGTGTTGGATGAGTGTGTTCACATTCCATGGGGGAGCATGGGCTTTGGGATCTCTGTGTTGATTTACTTTCTGCACATCTGTCTGTGCTCTTCCTGCAGCCCTAACTCACCTTGCTCTTGAAACCTCAGGCAAGTGCTGGAAGGGTTTCCACCCAGGGTGGGGGTCACATCTCCAGATTGTGCACCCTGAGGCTACTGGCTTTCCAGACTTTTGCCTTCCACCTACGTTCCCTCGTACCCTGGTGCTGGTGACGTGTATGATGTGGTTGCATGTGTAACTTACTGGGTCTTTTGTGTGATAGCTCATGTCTCCTGCCCTGTCTGGAGAACCCTGAGCCCTGGATGCTTTTGGGAGGGACAAGGTGCCAGTTGGATGACACACAGGAAGAGAGGTGTGTTTGTTACCTTGCCCAGACAACCTGCTCTGCCTGGTCAGCATGCCTAAGTAGGGTAGGGTGGGGGGAGAAAGGAGCTGCTGAAGAAATGAAAGGCATCTTAAGAAAGTTTACCTGGAAATACTTCATGTTGCTGAAGTTCATATTTTGACCTTTTCAGCAGTTCTGCTCTGTGCTGGGAAGGTAGCACATAGATATGAGTTGATAAACATGAGCTTTTGACATAAAGCTCCCAACGAAGAGTGCTTTGGGTGTTGGACTTTCATTTAGCCACTCTATTTGTCACTTTCCATTCTTACAGTCTAGGGTATTGATGTGGGCATTAGCATGAAGCTCTCTGTTCACAGTGAAAGGTCATTTTCAAGATGTTGTGATTTTATAAACTTGAATTCTTTTTTTTTTTTTGAGTTGGAGTCTCACTCTCGCCCAGACTGGAGTGCAGTGGCATGTTTCCGGCCACCGCAGCCTCAACCTCCTGGGCTCCGGTGATCCTTCTGCCTCAGCCTTCCAAGTAGCTGGAACTACAGGCGCATGCTACAACTCCCGGCTAATTTTTTGATTTATTGTAGAGATGAGTTCTCGCCAAGTTGCCCAGGCAGGTCTCGAACCTGCAGGCTCAGGCAATCCACTCACCTCAGCCTCCCAAGGCGTGGGATTACAGGCTGAGCTACCAAGCCCAGCTTAAACTTGAATTCTTAAATTGTGGTTTTAAAGAGCACCAGGACATTAAAAACAGAGTGACACACCCCGAGGCTCTGTTCAGCCAACAATGAGGACTTTTATTTAAAAAATAAAGCCATGGGTCATTTATATTGCAGTGTGTTTGTTTTGAGCTTGCCTTCTGATGTTTGGCAGAAGCAGACCTCACTCACCTGCTGTGTTTGTTCTTCTCTCCTCAGGCTGCCTTCCAGGAGAATGTGGGGAGACAGGTATGGCTACTTTTACAAATCTTTATTCCTGTGACTTCCTGTAGGTTTAGAGGTGGAAAGCTTGAAAGCTGTAAAGTTGGTGTCTTCTTGCATTGTTAGATGTGGGTAAAGAATGTACCTCAAGTTAGTGAATCAGCACAGTGACTTCTGGTTACAGATTCACTGTAGTGTGACCTGTAGGAGTGTTGACACATAAGCAAGTAGGAAACCTGCACATATAAGTAGTTTTACACACAGGTCAGAAATCCCTGCCTTACACATTGACAGGGACTTTACAATGTGGGCGCTGGAGGGTGTGAGTGGGTCCCTTGGAGATACCTGACTGCAGGGATGGAGACTGGGCCCTGACCTGTCCCTCTTGGAGCAGGGGCTGGCTGTGTTTCTGTCAACTCCTGTCTCACCTGAACTGTAGCCAGGCCCAGAAGCCAGCTCCCAGAAACTGTTGACCCCATGATCCCTCTCTATGCTGGGGCTACCCTTGTTGTGTCCTCTGACCCTGACATCTGGTCACCACTCAGCCTTGCCCAAGGAGTGAGGTCACAAGTTATTCATGTTGTATGTGATGATGACACGTCCTGGGCATGTGATTGGACCTGGCAGGAGAGTAGGACAGAGGCTGGAGGGGCATCAGGGTCTGGGCCACATCTGGGCAGGAAGGGGGTTTCTACAAGAAACCTAGAAGGGAGGCTCTGGAGTTCTGTGACAGCAAGGTGTCTATGGTGCTTTTGAGTCTGGAAGTGGGGAGACAAAGTTATGAAGCCAGGTCCTGTGATGAGTGCTGGGCAGGCTCTGATCTGAGGAGTGAAGTGAGTGATCTGGGCTAAAGATGAATGTTTTCTGTGCGAGGAATCTGCAGATGACGTTGCGGAGATAGTGAGCCTTTACAGAGGCTCATGTTTCTGAAAGAAGCAGGAAGCAGAGCCATGGAGGTCAAGGGCAGCCAAGGGGCAGTGGGAGGGCATGGGCAGCAGCAGAGTCAAGTGCTGAGACTGTGGGTCATGGGTGACTGCAGGCTAGGCCTCCAACATGGGGTAGACGTGTGTCTGCTGGGCCTTGAGGAAGCATGCAGCTGGCAGGGAGAGGAAGGCATCTGAGAGGGAATAAAGACCCTGACACCTGGGCATCAGTAGAAAGCAGGGAATTGCAGGAGCAGGGTCCACACCTGCAGCCCTTCCCTGGATTGACTCCTCTCCTGCTGTCAAGGTCCTCGTAAAGGCCAAGTGCAGGTGAGGCTGGTGGGGCAGGCCATGAAGCCTGAGGCCATGTCTTTTCTTGGCTGCTGGGTGAGGGGTCTGATGTTCAGTTCACACAGCAAGGATGATCTGCCAAAAACAGTGCAGGAAGAGTGACTGGCAGTGAGACTTTGGCGGGTTTGCTGTCTTTTCTCTGTGGCTTTCCATAGTTTCAGGTCTTCTACCTAGAGGTTGAGCCCAAACCAGAAGTTCTCAAACTGAGCAAATGGCAGAATCATCTGGAATTTCTGATCCAGGAGACAGGGGTGGGCCCTAAAATGATCTTTTCTACCACACTTTGAGAACCAGGCTCCAGTAGTCTCTTCAGAGACCCTGGGCTGTGAGTTTCCCATGTAGCTGCAGCTGTTTTCTCTCTGCTTTCTCTTTGGACTTGGGAACAGGAGGCACGGCCTGGCTGTGCTCCCTTGTACTCTCCCAGAAGATCAGCCCCATATTGGCTGGGCAGTGACTCTGCCCCTGGGTGACAGTCCTGCAGTGACCTGGGGGATGTTCTGCCATGCTGCCCTGTACCAAGTCCCCACATGCTACCCTTTCAGGGAAGAGGAGCAGCTACTTGGGGGGCCTGGAACTGGGGAAGGGTCAGGGGATTTGGGGGGAGGAGCCTGGGGGGATGGCCTTGGAGAAAGGTGTGGGGGGATCAGGGATAAAGTAGGGAGTTTCAGGAGGGTCTCAGGGATGTGTGGGGGTGGGGGGGGCCTTGAGGGGGACACTGGGGAGAGGATGGGGCAGGGCCTGAGGGATTTTGGGGAGGGGCTGCAAGTGGAGAAGAGACACTGCCCAGCGAGTCTGGAGCCCCCAGCCCATTGGAGATGCAGGTCCTGACACCAGAATGGATTACAGCTCTTGTCTTCTTACTCCTCTCCAAGTATGGGGCAGAGTTGGGGCCCTTTCCTAAGCAACTGAATAGTCAGGGCTGTCTCTGTGGAAGATGGTCTCTGCCCTCTCCCACTTGCAATATGACTTACCTGTGGGCAGCTCCTGCGTCCAGACACGCCAGCGCCATGATCTGCTGGATGAGTGCTGCCCAGGCCCCTGGCTTGTCAGGCCCTCGTGGTGGCTACCTACTGTAGGCTCCTCTGCCCCTGAGTAGGGGAGGAGATTGAGGCACAACTGATCCCCTGCCATGTCTGCTCTGAGCTGTTGCCCCAGCTCCCGCTTGGCAGACAGAGCCGTGATCCTCATCTTGACTTTGCTTGTTCTCGTGTGGTAGCTGCTAGGCACAGAGTACCCTATTCTTATTCTTGGTGGGACCCAATACTGGGTCACCTGGACATCACCCTGAGCTCCCACCTGCCGTGGTTCAGGGTGTGGAGTCCCACCCCAGCCACTGGAGTATGACACCTGCCAGGTGGCAGCACTACTGTCTTCCTGCAGCAGAGCCACAGCTTCCACTGGGTTGTGGGTTTCTTTCCTGTTATATAGCTAAAGAAGCACATGCTGTTGCTGAATCTAGGAGCCTCAGACAGAAGTTTGTCACTTCTATACCTGCCCAAGCTCCCAGCACAACCCATGGGGGTGATTTGCAGGAATAAAGCCACTTCTGTTCATTTCTTCTGCTCCTTCTGGCAGGCAGGAGGGAGCCAGCACTGGTGTTCTCAGGAGAGCTGGCTGTTAGTGATTTACTTGTTAAATTATTATACCAAGGTGTGAAGTTTTAATGGTCCCATGCCCACCCACCTCCAAGGCTGAAATTCAGTCCCTCCTCAACACCTTTTACATGGCCAATATCACTGATCTTGTCCATGTAAAAGGTGTTGAGGAGGGACTGAATTCCAGCCTTGGAGGTGGGTGGCATGGGAGGGTGAATGGGGTAGAACTGAAATATGCTCCCTCCGCACCAGCACCTGGGACGACCACCATGACCTCCTGCTGGTCCACTGCAGCCTATTCTGTAACTCTGGGCCTATGGTCAGTCTAGTGGTGAACTTTGAGAGCCTGAAAACAGTAGCTATGAGTGCCTTGGTGTTCCTTATCAGTGCACTGACCTTGCAACTGTTCTGGACTTGGATGGTGTTATGAATTCCTCTTCGTCCTTAGACTCTTTGGCTCTTATATGTAGCTTGAGAACCAAGCTACCACTGTTGCCATGGTTTCCATGATCATAAATAACTCGACTCAGATCCTAAATTTAGTTCTTCATATTTTAGTTTGACCAGGAACAGGTTACATATGTACATGTCATTATAGGTGACAGGTGTGACTGGAGGTGGTGCCTTCAACTTGATGCTTGTGGCACCCCTGTGATGTGCTAGGTTACAGAGTGATGTGAGCAGCTTGTGTTTGCATAGGTTCTTCCACCTGTGTGAAGTGCAGGAGTGCTGTGGGCTGGGGATGTTGGCGGCTGGGTGCTTGTTGATGTTCTGAGCTTGTCAGACTTGTGCCAGCTATACACATGAATCAGAGCTTCCCCTGTTCGTGCTGTACAGCCTGGCATTGCCAGTGACGCTACCTGGTATAGAGGCCGGGTCACTCTGGAAGGCCTTTCTAAAATCACTCTGGAAGGCTTCTATGTTTGATTTAAAATTTATTTATTTATTTTGAGTCAGTGTCTTACTCTGTCGCCCAGGTTGGAGTGCAGTGTCACAATCATGGCTCACAGCAGCTTCAACCTCCTAGGCTCAGGTGATCCTTCCACCTCAGCTTCCCAAGTAGCTGGGACTATAGGCATGTGCCACCATGCTCAGCTAATTTTTTTTATTTTTGTAGAAATGAGGTCTTGCTATGTTGCTCACACTGGTCTCGAACTTCTGGGCTCAAGCAGTTTCTTGCCTCGGCCTCCTGAAGTGCTGGAATTACAGGCGTGAGTCGCCACACTCAACTAATTTTAGAAAATATTTATGTTTTTTCCAGCTGTTCAGATATTTTTACCAGCATCAATAACAATGTGTAGACTTTGGGGCTCCACTGTGAGACTGCCCATGGTGTGGGTGGAGGTGCCCTGCCCCCTAGCTTTGGAGCCTTAGGGGTTGCTGCTTGTTCTTGATGCTTCTGGGGGTCAGCTGTTGGCCCTGTCTGGTGCTGGCTGGGTTGGTTGCTTCCAGTCACCATCTCATCCACTCAGGACTGCTGAGCAAGGCCTGGGGTTTAGCCCATGTTTCACAAACCAGGTGCCTGTGTCCCCAGAAGGGCCTCGGCCTGGTTGAGATCAGCTTTAACCCTACTGAGGTTATTTCTGATTTCTGCTTATGGGGTGTGTGTGTGTGTGTGTGTGTGTGTGTGTGTGTGTTTTGTCAGAGTCTCACTCTGTTGCCCAGACTGGGGTACAGTTGCATGCTCATGGCCACTGCAGCCTTGGCCTGCTGGGCTCAGGTGATCCTTCCACCTCAGCCTTCCAAGTAACTGGAACTACAGGCATGTACCTCCATGCTCAGCTCATTTTTTGATTTATTGTAGAGATTAGGTCTTGCCAAGTTGACTAGGCTACTCTCAAACCCATGGGCTCAAGCAATCCTCTTACCTCGGCTTCCCAGAGTATGGGATTATAGGCATGAGCCACTGTGCCTGGCCACGGTGTGTGTTTTAAAGAAAGATCTTATAGCATTTTGAAGTTGAAATGCTTGAGTTGTTAAAAAAAATTAAATGCTTTTAAGTGGTTTAAATAATTTTAGCATAGTATCTAGCCTGGGATAGACAATCAGAATTGATTTGACTTGGAAGTCCTCATGCGAGCAGTTTTTACATTTCATGGTTTTAGTTGTCCATCTATTTCAGGCCTCTTGATTCATGAATGTAAATGTATATAGATATAATTACTGAACTTTTTGAATTGCCTTTGCTCATTCAGATTCTTTTTATTCTAATTTCACTGTTTTATTAGGGCACTTTCCCTCATGGAATTGATATTTTGACCACAGCTGATTATTTTGCTGTTGGTAACAGATCCAACTGTTTCCTGGTTATAAGGTAAGTTTTTAATGTATAGCACAAAATGTAATATTCTGAAGTTAGATTTAGATGTAAAAAGTCAGTTTTGCCATTTTCTTTATTATTTAGTTATTTATTTTTCAGTCAGCTTCTCACTCTGTCACCCAGACTGGAGTGCAGTGGTACGATAAGGGCTCGCTGCAGCCTTGACTTCCCGGCTCAGGTGATCCTTCTGCCTCAAACTCCCAAGTAGCTGGGACTACAAGTGTGCATCACCATGCCTGGTTAATTTTTCAATTTTAATTTTTTTTTGTAGAGACAGGGTCTTACTATGTTGCCTAGACTGGTCTTGAAATCCTGGACTCAAGGTGATCCTCCCACCTAGGCCTCTCAAAGTGCTGGAATTAGAGGCATTAGCCATTGTACCTGGCCTTCTTTCTTTATGTTGGAAGGTCTATTAAGGGTAATATACTTGTGTGAAATATTAAAAATTGAATTGGAAACAGTTATTGAGACTTCAGTTTCATGTTGATTGGATATACTCCATGCTTTATACTAGATAGAAGACTTTTTTTTTTTTTTTTTTGAGTTGGAGTCTCACTCTGTCACCCAGACTGGAGTGCAGTGACCGCTCCTGGCCACTGTAGCCTCGACCTGCTGGGCTCCGGCAATCCTTCCGCCTCAGCCTTCCAAGTAGCCAGAATTACAGGCATGTGCTACCACACCCGGCTGATATTTTAATTTATTGTAGAGATGAGGTCTTGCCAAGTTGCCCAGGCGGGTCTTGAACCCGCAGGCTCAGGCAATCCACTCACCTCAGCCTCCCAAGGCATGGGATTACAGGCTGAGCCTCCGAGTCTGGCTAGATAGAAGACTTTTACTCACATTTTAAAGAGCTCTCTACAAACAAATTAGCCAGGTGTGGTGGCACAAGCCTTTAGTTCTAGCTACTCATGAGGCTAAGGTGGGAGAATTGCCTGAGCCCAGGACATTGAGGTTATGGTGCGCTGTGACTATGCCACTGCATTCTAGCCTGGGCGACAGAATGAGACCCCGATTAAAAAAAAAGAAAAAGAAATGCTAACTTGAAATGGGCACTTTCTCTGGTAATGATATTCTCTTAATCCTCCTGTTTTATTAGTGCCAGGTTCTTTGTAGGGCTTGGAATTTTACAGGGAATAGCCATAAGCCAAAACTGTGCATTTCTTTCTGTGTGACTGCTTTTCTACTGGATGTCATAAATGCATTGGGTTTCTCAAAATGAAATCTTGTATTAGAAGTGACTGTGTTTCTTTTTCTGTTTCAATAAAATGTGTTTCGAAGTTGAAGTTATCTCTAGGTTGTAAAAAAGAGGTGTTTGAGAAATCAGGTCAAGAAATAAATAGTTAACATCCTTAACTATAGTTTACAGAAATCATATCAAGTTATTTTTACTTATATAATTTAAGTACTGGGAAAAATACTTCACTTGTCTCAGTTAATCCATTGGAACACTGATATGAAAAAGGTGTGATTTTATGAAGTGATTTATTTTCCTTAAATTGGGACAAGAAGCATGCCCAGTGCATTTTTTCATTATTAACCATGATATATTCTAAGGACAGATTCCACAACAGCTGTGCTGTGCAGACCCTGCAGAAATGACACTTCTCCATAACCAGCATGGACAGATTTTTTTTTTTTTAATGTAGCATTTGGCCTCTTTCCTAGGAAAAATCTTTGACTGAATACACTGTATTTTTATGTCCTTTCCATCTTTTCTTCAACATCTAATGTCCTTTTGTGTCTGATCAGTTTTTCCCTATTAATACTTGGACATATCTTTTATGTGGAGAATCTACTACCTTTTCCCCTGAATTTCTTGGGTAAAATAACTGGCAGCTAATTTTAACCTTGGCACATTTTCCTTGTTGCTGTTTCTAAGCCAATCTAAAACTTACATGTAATTGTTGTGTGCATTTTATAAACACATTTGCCAAACTTGACCTGGCTCCAGGTGTATTCTCTTAAGTGCATCCTGCATCCTTACGATGCCCAGACCCTGCATACGGACTAATCATTTTAGGGGTGTGCCAGGAAGTAGACTGTGCCATCGGAGTGAGGCATCATGAGGACCATGGTCCTGGCTGCCCTCCAGCTCCACAAGGCCCTCGTCCAAGGCCCTCCACCCGAGAACCTGGGAGCCAGGAAATAGACAGTGTGTGGCTGCCAGAGGGTACTGTGCCCCGAGGTCTGGAGTGAGGTCAGGCAGGACCTCTGTGGGTAGCCATGGTGAAGAGCATGGACTGTGGCTATATTTTGATGACTGGAAACAAGGAGAGGGCTGGGGGGCCTAGAGGTGGACCCCCTGGAGAGACTTGGCATCACCAGGATATTAAAGAGGGTCTAGAGCCTGAGGTGTTGGTGTCGCTCAGCAGGGTGAGGGTGACCATGCTATGAGGTGTGGGGAGGCCGGGACCCACTTGGCATGTACTGACTCCAAGGTCTTGGGGATGGCCTGCGTGGAATGTCAACCAGGCTATATGGGGACGGTTCCTCTGGAAACTGGGGTTTCTGCCACATATATTGGAGTGGAGACTAATGGAAGGCACCTTGGAAGACTGTTGTGAGATGATGGGAGAATGTGGTCACCCCAGCAGCTATCCCGTCTCCCTTGTTTGTTGTTGCAGCTTCTCTGAAGTATAAATGACACATAGTAGGCTGTGCAAATTCCAGATGTCTGTGGTGATACATTTTGACAGATGTAAATCTGTGCCTATCACCAAATTCAGACAAGGAAGACCCACATTTTCTTATCCCCCCTTGGGGTCTCTCCCTCCATCCCCTACTGCACCCCCTTAGGCAGGTAGCCCTGGTCTGCTGCTGTCACGGCAGGTGAGTCTGCATTTCCTAAAGCTTTATGTGAAGGACTGTGGAGCATGTGCTCTTCTCACTAGTTCTGGCATTTTTCACTCAGTACTTGCTGGTATTTGTCCACATGTGTATGATTGTTCACCCGTCCTGCTTGTGAGTGTGTTTTGTTGTATGGCTGCACCATGCCCTGTGGGTTCCCTCACCCTTTGGGGACCTCTGGGTCATTTCCAGCCTGGACTACTAACAGATGAAGCTGCGGTGAATGCTTACATGCGTATCTGTCTTTGATCTGGGAAAAGTGCTCAGACACAGGAAGCTGGATTGTCACTTTAAGAAACTGTTACAAGCCGGGCTCAGTGGCTCAGCCTGTAATCCCGTGCCTTTGGGAGGCTGAGGTGAGTGGATTGCCTGAGCCCGCGGGTTCGAGACCCGCCTGGGCAGCGAGACCTCATCTCTACAATAAATAAAAAAATCAGCCGGGTGTGGTAGCGCATGCCTGTAATTCCGGCTACTTGGAAGGCTGAGGCGGAAGGATCGCCGGAGCCCAGCAGGTTGAGGCTGTGGTGGCCGGGAGCGGCCACTGCACTCCATCTGGGCGACCGAGTGAGACTCCAACTCAAAAAAAAGAAACTGTTATAGTTTTCAAGGTGATGGTGTTGTATATGTTCCTGGCACTGTGTGAGAGTTCCAGGTCTGTAGTCCTCACTGATACTGGGACTGACAGTCTTTTGAAATTCAGCCTTCCTAGTGGTTGTATAGGAACAGCTGGTTAGCTTATGTTTTCTCGATACCTAATGATGGGCCTATTCAACAAATCTTTTGCCCCTTTGTTTCTTGGTTTAACTGCTTTCTTCTTACTGAGAATTTGAGAGTTCTTCATCTTTTCTGGATACTTAGCAATGCTGCTTACTTGACAATACTTTCTCCTACTCTGTGGCTTTTCCTTTTATTATCCTGCATATTCTTAAGTGAAGACCTTTAAAAAAATCAGCTTTATTTTTTACATCTAATTAATTAATTTTTGGGGGTGGGGTTGGGGGAATCTCATCTGCTACCCAGGCAGGAGTGCAGTGGCATGATCACAGCTCATTGCAGCCTCGAACTCCTGGGCTCAAGTGATCCTCCTGCCTTAGCCTTCTGAGTAGCGGGTGGCACATTACAGGCATGTGCCACCATGCCCAGCTAGCTTTTAGATTTTTGTGAAGACAAGGTCTTGCAATGTTGTCCAGGTTGGTCTCAAACTCTTGGACTCAAGCGATCTTCCCACCTGGGCTTCCCAAAGTGCTGGGATTACAGGCGCAAGCCACCATACCTTGCTGGTACATCTATTTTATTACATATAATTTTTGTTTAGTAAGATCATCAATTTTCAATGTGGGTGTAAGTGTAGGGGTGGGCTTTGGCAGATGTGAACAGTTGAATGACTGCCACTAGGGCCCACATAGAGAACATATCCCTCACTCAGGAAACCCCCTCCTGCCTGGCCTTCTGTCACTGAAGTTCCACCTTTTCTAGAACCTATGTAGGTGGAGCCGCATGGCAGTGTGCTATGCCTCTTTCACTCTGTTTCCTACCTGATCATTTCACTATGCTGTTGGGTTCACCAGTGATTGGTCTGGTTCATTACTGAGCAGCATCCAATTGTGTGGATGCCCCATAGTCTGCCCACTTAGCTGTCAAGGGGTCCTGAAGTCTGGCAGGTTTTGGTGTCTGAGTGCATGACAAGGCTTTTGTTCACCCCAGCCATTTTTCTGATGGAACAAGCAGTCATTAGGATTTTGAGCTGGTTTGTCTTTTTGCTGTTGTAAATTCCTCTCCTTGATTTCTGGCATCTTTAGCGTTGAACATTCTTTTTAAATACATTTGGTTGTATTTTGCTTTCCAGTAATTTTGCATGTCATGCCCTGTAATTTCCTTACACCAAGGAAGCCCCAAGTGAACTGTTGCACCTGTATTTCCTAACTCAGTAGCAGCAGCCTGTCCATGTGCTCAGCTTGTTTCTTGCTTCTCCCGCTCTCATTCCCCACACCCAGCTGGTGACCTAGTTCTGCCACTTCCACATCCCTAATAGGCCTCAAGCATGTCCCATTCTGCTGACCCTTCTATTGTCACCTCACTTCCAGCATGCTCTGTCCTGCATACTTGCAGAAGTCCCCAACTGACCCGTGTCCTGTAGGCCCTGACCTCTTCCATCCATGGTTTGCCCCTGGGATCTGCCTGGAGTACGGACAGTCTTGTTCATGTCCCACTACCCTCATCCTCCCTCGCTCCTTCAACCTCTTCTATCTCCTCTCACCCATGGATGGCACTCCCCTTGGTTCACATGTTCCTCCCATGCAGGCCCTGCGTGCCCAGCACACGCACATGTAGCCTCAGGCTGAGGTTCAGGAATGTCTTCTCTGAGGCCAGCCACTAGTGTGTGCCTTTACCAGAACTCAGGCGGTCTGGTCTCTGCCTGCTTCTTTCCACAGGGCCACTGGTCTCTGCCAGCTCCTTTAGAATCCTGGCTTCACTGCTAGGCTCCAGGCCATGGCCTGGGTACGTCTGCTCATCACCGTGCAGGTTGAGTGTCCCATAACACCTCCATGCCAGGGCAAACTGGTCACGCAGTACCTGGATCAGCATATCACACTTTCTGACAGTTCCTTCACTGTCTTGATTTTTCTGTTTTTATTCCTGGCTTTCAGACTGTTTATTACCTTCCAAGGGCTCTCTGCTCATCTACTTTGGGAGCAGCCTCTGCTTTTTTTTCCTCTCACCTCCAGCACGAAACTTGCCCTGATCCGCTCTCCCAGGCTGGCTGTCTTGAAGCACATATCTGTGCCTACATGGTCTCTCTGTTCACTCCTGGGCCCCACTTTGCAAAGTTGTGTTCTTCCTGGGCCCTCGCTCCTCTCCTTGGGCTCAGGTGCCATACTGGAGGCTGTGGCTACACACTGGGTGTCAGTGAAGTCCACAGGGAGGCTGTGTGGGTAAGATGGTGGGTTCATTTAATATGTGTGGTTGGAGTTTTAGATAGACAAACTGTAAAAAAAGCCCATGGTGCATAATTCAGAAGGGACAAGAGTATTCATGGAAAACCAAGCCTGTTTCTCACCTCTTCTCCTGGTCACCTGGTTCATTCCCAGTGTCACACATCAGTGGACTGACCTCTTTTCATCTGTGGAGCACTGCCTAAAAGTAAAAGCATAGTTGCTGAACCAAGGAGGCTGCTTCAGGCACACAAAGCTGAAGAAGGCAGGAGCAGTATGTTTACCTATACACATCTCAGAGCGTAGAACGTGGTCTGCGTGGGTCCCCTCATGGAAAGTGAATATTCAATGTGAAGTGAATGTTTGTGTGTATATAACTTCTTACCTGTGTGATTGCATCTGGATAGATTACCAAGAGTGGAATTGCTGGCCAGAGAAAGAGTATGTGTCTTTTGTTTCCTGGATAATGCCAGCCATTGTCCATGGAGGCTGTGCCAGAATGTTGCTTAGTGGGGCTTCTAGTTCTTTCTAGGTCTGCAGTAATGGCACACACCCTTGGGACTTGGGTCGTCTGACAGATGAACCGAGGTTTTCTCTTGGTTTCCTGTGTGGAGGAGGCTGAACATCGCTTCAAGTGTTGTGCTAGATATGCATTTTCTATAAACTTTTTGATGCCATTTCTACTAGGCTATGATGTTTTTCTTATTGAATCACAAGAACTCATTTACTTTAGAGAAGTCTCCTGTTTGTGATATCAGTTACAGATTTTTTTTCTGGATTTGTTTGTCTTTTGACTTTTTTTTCGGTGTATTTTTCCTAATGTGTTTGGGGGGGTTATGTATTTAAAGTTATCAATTTATTTTATGACTCTGGGTTTTGAGTCATAATTCGAAAGGCCCATCTCACTTGGAGATTTTTTTTTAGTCTCCCTTGTTATTTTCATGAGATGTAACTTATATTTTTAAGACATAATTTGTACTCTATCAGCTGTCCCTGTAAGAAGCAAACAGTTCAGCTGGCACTGAGGTGAACACACCTAGGGACCTGCACCTTCCTTGGGGTGTAGAGGAGGCTCCCACACCTCTGTGCTCACCCCAGCCTCTAGCCCTGACTCCACTGCTCTGCTGTCCATGTGATCTCTGATGTCTGTCTTAGAATGTCATACATGTGGAATCAGATGAAACATACTCTTTGTATCTGAATTGTTTCACTTATCTGGTAGTTTTGAGAGCCGTCTGTGCTGTGTTGCCAGCAAGTTGTTCCTTTGTGTTGCTGGTGTGTGTACTGCTCTGTGGCTGTACCATTAGTTTGCCTGTTGGTAGACACTTAGATTATTTTGAACTTTTGACTCTGATGAATAAAGCGATTGTGAACATTTACTTAGACATCTTTATGTGGACATATATTTTCATTTCTTTCAGATAAAAACTTTAAAGGGAATTTTTATATATTTAACTTTATAAGAAACTGTCAAATTGTTTTGCAATGTGGCTGTATGGTTTTGTATTTTCTCCAGAAATGTATGCAAGTTCTGGTCACTTCATATCCATGCCAACACTAATTTGTCGGTCTTTTAAAATTTTACCCATTCTAGTTCGTATAGTGGTTAAGTGTGTTCCCTGCTGAATACTGATGTTGAACATCTTTTCATGTGCTTACTGGCCTTTTAGTTATTTTATTTTGTGATGTTTTTGTACAAATTTTGTGTTAACTTTTTATTTGGAGGATATCTTTATTCTGACATAAGTCCTTTGTCATTTCTGTGTATTCCAGTGATTCCCCATCAGTGTGTGGCTTGCCTTTTCATTTTTTGAAATTTTCAACAGCCACAGTTTCCAGGTTTTGGCTTTACAAATGAAGCTGCTGTGTACCTTTGTGTACACGTCTATGCGTGGACAAATGCTTTTCTTTCTTTTGTAACTGCTTAGGAGGGGAATAGTTGGGTCATATGGTAGATGTCTTGAACTTTTGGAGAAATGGCCAAACTGTTTTTGGAAGTAATTATGCTTGATTTTTATAAGCAGTGTATAAGACTTCCAGTTCTTCCACTCTTAACATTGTCTTTTTCAGTGTGTTTATTGCCGGCTTTCCTGAGTACACCCAGCCAATGATAGACCATCTGGTTACCATGAAAATCAACCATTGGGATGGGTAAGTTTTGGGTATTTGTTTTTCTAAGAATTTTTTTTCCAAAGGAGAGATTAAATTGAGCTTATAAGCCTTGAATATATTTTCTCATTGTGGATGTCATATTTTAAAAATAACTTCTGAGAAATAATGTACAGTCTAGTCTTCATGCTTGATGTGTTGGTTAATGGCTTGTCTCCATTACCACTTCTGGAGACCTTAGTCCAGTGTGTCCGAGGTGTCTGTATTCCTTTGTGAATGTCCATGTTGGTGTGTCATGGAGAGCCATAGCCATTGAGGACGGGAGTGACCTGGGCAGCAGGCATATACCTCATCTCTTTCAATGGGTGGTGTGACTCCCACCTGATCCTGTTCTGCATGACTGCTTGATTGTCTTCAGCATTGTCTCCTGGGAGCCAAACAGGCTTTAGTGGCTTTTTTTTTTATAATTACAGGAGCAGTTCCAGGGTTTTTAGCATTTCATAGGCAGTTAAATGTGTGTCTTCAAAGGCAAAGGCTTAGTGTATGATCCAGAACATAAACAAAGTATTAGTCCTGTTATTACCACCTCTAGGAAGGTCAGATTATCTTCTAGGAAGATGTGGTGGTGTTGCTTCCTACTGCACACAGACAGTAGATCTGAGGAGCAGTAAATGCCTGTGGGTGGAAGTAGCTCCATTTGGGTGCATGTTCAGATAACAATTTTAGGATGTTACTTGGAGAAAGTCCTTTCTGACCCATTGGGGAATGTGTTCTAACCTCTTTGAGGACCAAGGCCTGAAAGTGTTCTTTAATTGCAATTGCATGGCAGAGTGTCCCAGCCGTCTGCTGTGGTCCAGGCAAGACTCTGAGGATGGAGAACCTCTGGGAAAGGAACCATCTCCTGGTTGCCACTTGAGCTGCTGGAAACTTACCCTTCATTTTCTCTGTGGTCATTCCTAACATACAGAGGATTGTACACATTTCTGATATTTAAGGCATACCTCAAATGCAGATATGGTACCAGAAACTCTCACCATTAGGAGCAAAGCTCCCATAAACTGACTTGGGAGAAATTAATGTGCCTATTATACCAGCTTATCAGTCAGTAAGATCTTTAAAACCAATCTTGTAAATATATAGCCCACAGTATTAGACTAAACTTTTGAGCTATTTAACTCTCCAATTGTTAGTGTAGTGTCTGTTTCTTCCTTCAGTTTTGTCAGTTTTTCCTGAATGTATTTTGAGTGGAGACACTTATTAGATGCATATATGTTCATAACTTTTACATCTTCCTAATGTATTGACCTTTGAGCATTATGAAATGTCCCTCTTTGTCTCATGTAAGTTTTTTTTTTCTTTAAGCATAATTTGAAATCATTATAGGACACACTTTGGCAAGCTTTTTTTTAAAGGACTATTAAATGCCTTAGGTCTCTGTCCCATATGTTTTTTTTAATCCCTTTATATAACCCTTTAAAATTGTAAAAACCATTCTTAACTTAGGGCCTTTCTTATATGGAGAGGCTTCAAGCTGGGTTTGGACCACTGGCTACAGATGATGGTGATTCTAGTTCTTTGGGGTTCGTTTGTCCCTTACTTTAGTCTGTGTCTTTGACTCTGACACGCCTGTTGTAGACAGCACATTTTTGAATCATGCTCACATGGTGTCAACTCTCTTGGCATATGTGATATTACCTGCCTCAGCTCTTTGTTGACTGTTGGAGGTGAACTGCTAAGCAGGACCTGGGGGTGCCCAGGAGCCATGGCCAGAGGCCAGAGGCCGGAGGCCGGGGCAGGTGGTGCTGCTGGGATTGGGGGCTGTCCTGCTGTGGCACCTGCCTTCATTGTGTCTTGTGGGTTTGGAGTTTTTAATAATCAGAATACAAGTATCCCTTTTGCATATTTTCATCTTCATATTTTATCATGTTTCTATGTTGTTAGTCACCCTGATGATTATTTTAGGTAATGATGACTTGCTCCCGCTGGTGTTTGGGGGGCTGGGGGCTTGGGCCCTGCAGGTCACCCCCAACTTGGCTGTCTTGCCTTTGTGTGGAGCCCTGAAGGAAGGGTAGCTCAGGAGGAGGCTGTGGGCTTATGTGCCAGGGTGGGGTTTTCTATTGTATGTGTGTTCTACTGCTGGGTGTTTTTGATACCTGTTAGATGTTGTGGTTGAAAATGTTTTGTCCTAATGTGATATGTGCCTCAGATGTATTAGGATGAGCCCCAAGAAACTCCTCATGCTCAACCCTTGTCATCTTCAGAGTGACAGTTTATGTGGTTCCATCCAATACTCACATCTTCTGAATAACTTGTGGGCAGGACTGGGGACCCTTTTGCCATGTGGCACTCAGGGGAAGTGGCAGCTATGCCCTGAGAAGCCCTGGGATAGCTGTTTTATTTTATTCATTTCATTTGGTACATTCTCTTCCTCATTTATAGCAGTTTGAGGTTCTTGCTTTTTCTCATTTGTGTGTTTGATTAGTGGTCTTAGTTGAGCTGCCGGCTGAGCATCCATGTATTGTCTTCCTCTCTTTTCTTTATTAATTGAATAAACTGGAGCCATCAACACGAGGAACTCACCGTGTTCTCTTCCCTCCATCAGGGTTATCAGAGAGCTGGCTGCAAAGGCGCTGCACAATCTGGCCCAGCGAACCCCAGAGTACATGGCCACTTGTGGTAGGTAGTGTTTCGGTCGTCTTCCAGGTGCCGCACAAATGCCCACACAGGCACACGTACATACACACATGTATGCACATGCATGTTCACACGTGTACACACGGCAGAAGGACCCAGGTGGGGCTATCCTGCTGGTTTCAAAGGGCTGGGGGCTGAAAATATTCTGTTTTTCTCTTGCTGAGAAATGTCTGAAGAGCTAGCTGTGGGGTGATCAGAGGACAGAATGTAGGGATAGAGGCAGTATATGTGTCCACCTGCAGGGCAGGGAATTGTTGGGCTGTGTTACTGCCTAAATTTAAAAATGGTGGTGATGCTACTAGATGCCTGACAAACACTGTGCGGCTTCCCTAGTTTCTAGGAGGCTTGTACCTGCTACACAGATTGTCTTTTGAATTTGTTACCATCTATAGGATGGGCCTAAACTGAGTGTTCAAGTCTGCCTCAGAGTTAAAATCACTTCAGAGTAGAATAGCTGAGTCTGCATTTCTTATACTTCGTTGACTTTAAAGAAAGAAATCCTATTTGTTTTGTCTCGCCGTTTCTGCTTGGAATAAGTAAGCATTTGACTTAAATGTAGGGAATAGTACACTGACATTTTTGCCCATGCCTGAGCTGGAGGTCGCACTGTGGCTCTTGATTTGCAGTTACTGATTTTACGGATATATGTATAGTGTGCCTTGGGACTTACATGGAGATTGGGACTTGTTCATTTCTAAGGGATGAACATGATCTACTAATGACACCAAGATGTCCAAAGTCTAGTGTGGCATTTACCTACCTTTACATGAGTTACCAATCCTTGCTGACAGTTTGAGGGCCCAACTTTGTCCTTCCTCCTGGTTGAAGAGTGGTGGCAGCCTGGGTAAGGGATATGACCTTTTGTAGATTTCTCCCTTTCCCCCAGCTGCCACATTTTGAGTGTCTCTGGTTTTGTCAGGCTGGCAGTTTCCTGACTGTGTACTTTGGGAAGTTGAGGCTCAGGGAGCTTTCATTTCCCCAGGCAGGGACAGGCAGAGCCAATGAGTCGTGGCCTTTGGCTGCCCATGCTCTCCCCTTACGGGTGGCTGTAGGATTTGGGTGAGGCTCCTTGGGCTTTTTCTTTGCTCTGAGCAGAAAGTGAGCAAACTCCAAGCTGAGGTAACACCATCAGCAGCTGGAGCCCACCCCTGGGATGGCTCTGTCTCATCTGGCTCTGCCCTCCCATGCAGAGCCCCTACTAGCTGCCAGCAGGCTGTGAAGCCCAGACAGGGACAATCTGGAAGCATTGTTTGTTTTCTTTTTCTTGTCCTCTCTCCTCACCTGTGTCTGGGAGACTTGAGAGCATGTCCTGGTCTGGATGGGCCATGTCCCCACATGCTGCAGTCCCTGCCCTGTTGCCCTCTTGAGTCTAGAGGAAGGAGCTTTGTACCTTCCGGGGCATTGGGATGTGATCCTGACAGAAACCAATTTTGGTGTGTTCCTGAGTCTGAGGGACTGTCCTTGGGTTTGCTCTTTCACCTGCCTTCCTGGCCTGTCTTTTGTAGTTTTCCCAAAGCTGTTGTCGATGACGCTGAGTTCAGATCTACATACACGACACGGATCAATTCTTGCCTGCGCAGAGGTGACCTATGCCTTGTACAAACTCGCAGCACAGGAGCACAGGTAGGAAGACTGGGTTGAAAGAAGACACTATACTTCACTCATGATCCCCTCACCGTATAATTACAATGATCTCAAGTTTGGGAATATCTCATCCCTTTTAATTTTTGTTTATTTGTACAAGTGTTACAGTCTTTAGGTTCCCACATTTTATTTATGAAGTTTGTAATGGTCCTGTCTCCTGATGAGTCACGTCCTGTGGACAGACCACCCACCTCTCTCCAGTGAGGAGAGTGCTGCACCTGGCTGGGCATTTGACAGCCAGATGGGCCAAAGAGCCTTAGTGTACTTCAGTCCAGCACCCTACTATCTTCTATATTGCCTCATTGTTTCTGAGGCGATGAATTAGATAATAAAAGCAAAGATACTTTTTCAGAGATCATATTAAGCAACTCACATTCAACATCCTTCGTTCGTCAATAATTTAAAATACTAGAGAATATAAGTTTAAAGTTTTCCTTGAGAATTTTTTTAGTTGGCTATGTCCGTGCAAATAAAGCATGAAAAATATAGAGTCATTTGGGGAGTTGTGCTACTCAATTTTCTTACTTTTCCTCCATTGACTCTTTCTCAACAGTGAAAACTCACAGATAAATTGTATGTCCATAACCTGGTTCTTGACTCCATTTTGAGAAAAATTGTATTTTAAATCACAGTTCCTTGGGGACAGAGTATGCCATGTGGTTGTGAGCCCATCTCTCTTCCCAGGTGCCTACAGGACATTTGGTGGGCTTCCCCCTCAGTCCTGAGCTCAGATGCACAGCCCCATGTAGGGATGAAGTGGGCATCCATGGACTAAGCCGAAGCCTGGCCTTTATGTTGTTGCTCTTTGGTTGTGGGAAAAGGCATGTGAGGCAAAGTTGGGGGGGAAAGCAGACAGGAGTTTCCAGAGTTTCCCCCTAGTTGGAACACATAGGTCATGTGAGATTTCCCCAGCACTGAACTGTGATGACACGTGTGATGTGTCTACCAGGGAAACATGTTGGAGACCCAGTGCCTAGGTAGGGCTCTCACTGGGTCTGGTCATGTGGGTACCTTTGCCCAGCATGGAACAAAATTTGACATCCCCAGAAGGAAAGCAGGTGCTCAGTGTAAACCACATAGTTTGTACAGACAATCTGAGCCAGTGAGTCACCCTTATCAGTATGGGCTTGGTGGGACTCCTGCTCACACCCAGGTTCCTGGATACCAACTGAGGACTGACCTCACCAGTAGCCTTTCCAAGGACAGCAATGGGGCCTTCTGGATGAGCTCTCAGCTCGGGCTTACCAGGGACTTGTTTCTTTTCCATAGTGGTCACGTCAGTGGGGGTTGCAACTTGAAGGGAATGTCCTTACATCCTCCCCCTTTTACCTGACACTGCTTTATCTTAAATTAGAAATGGGGATATGCTCATGCTCTGTACGGGTATGTGGGACCTGGTGGGGACATGAACAAGATGATATCTTTCTGAGGCTGTGTGTTCATTGTGGTGTACCTAGGGTTCAGGTCTTGGTCCACGTGACCTCAATTGCTGTGTTTGAACTTCTGCAGGCCTGTAACGGACTACATGGATGAGAAGGCAGTGCAGGGCCTGAAGCAGATTCACCAGCAGGTTCGTGTGCAGCTCCTGACTGTGGTCCTCACGAGATGTCATGGGTGTGTTCCCTCAGGGTCTCTCCACCCTCCTCAGCCATACCTGCATTCCTGGGATCGCTGTGCATCCTCAGTCCTGGGAATGGTGGGGTGATGGAGGTGTGATTGCTCTGGAAATAGTTTCTTTCCATTGGGATCACTCTTGTGACTAGCCACCTTTGGGGTTGATCTGGGATGGGAAGACACTTCTGGGAAATGAGTGCAGACTTTCTTCTCAGGTGGAAGAATGTCCTCAGTCTCAAATGCACATTTGGTAAGCCAGTGCAGTCAGAGGAGGTGTCAACAAGGTTGAAACATGGTTCCTCTCTGTGACACTGACTATGCTCCTAGAGTGCTCAGGCAGTCCTGGATGGGGCATCAGTTCCCTTTGTATTCTTGAGGAGGTGGAGGAGTGGTATACAGAATGAGCATGGAAACCTTTGGTTTCCAGCTGAGTATCTGCAGGTAGACTCTTGAGTCTTCCGAAGTTAAACCCAGAATTTTGAGTGTGCATTTTTCTTGAGAGAAAGCATGTGCATTTTTCTGGGTTTTCAGAAACTCCCAAAGGCTTCTGTGACCCAGAGGTAAAGTATGAACTATGGATCTTAGTATTATAAGATAATACCAAAATCATTAATAAGGAATTAAGTGATTTTATTGTTTATTCCAAATAACTTTATAGTCTTTAAGATTCACCTCTTTATAGACTAATATTCCACCTTCATCTTGGACCTTGATCCTATTTGCGCCATTATTTTGCTTCATGATTTTGGCAAAGTCATTTAGTTTGTCTGCTTATGTGTTTTACTTTAAAAACGGAGTCTGGTGTTCTCTCCTGCCTTTAGAGACAAGCATGACTACAGAGTGTAGGCTGGGAAGTCACACAGGGCAGTGGCTGAGAGAGGGGCCTCCCCACTGACCGCTGCGAGCCTTGGGAAACCTGTGCCAGTCCTCTGAGCCATGGTTTCCTTTTCTGCAAAACATAGGGGGTAATAGACCCTACTTCCTTGAGTTTTTGTGAGAAGTAAGGAATGATTTAAAGAGCTTAGTGGAGTTTTGGGCAGAGTGTGAGCATGCAGTGACTTTTAGTTATAATGATAATGATGATGTTCTACAGTGCTTTTGTTCACCATGGGGCCAGAACGCAGCTTGGTCCTGGCTCTCTCCCTCTGGGTGACTGTCCTCTTCCTATCTCTCTCTGTGCCTCAGTTGTCTCCACCAGGTGACTATTGGACTTGTTGTGGGGATTAAATGAAACAGTCTACACCAGCAGCTCAGGGAGGGCTCAACAGGTGGTGAGACAGGCCTCTGTCCTGAGCCTCCACTTGGCTCTCCTGGGTGGCCCTGCACCCAGGAAACTGTTGGCTCTGCCATTTTCTCTGTTTTTTTTCATACTTGTTAATATTATATAATCCTTAGTGCATTGTTTTAAAAACTGAAATCACTTAAATAACTAAATAACTTTCAATTCTTTATTTTTTAGCTTTATGGTCGTCAGTTATACAGGTAAGCATCACAAAACCAAAGTTCTTATGTTTTGTTTCCTGACTGGAAAAATACGTTGTCAGGAAAAGTTGTGCTGGTGTGTTGATGCTTCTAAGTCCTGGACTTATATTCCACTCACCTTCCTGTGACCTGTGTGTGTTTTGTGTGAAAAAATGTCACTTATCTCAGTTTTCAAGGGACATGAAAGGTCTAACCTAGTTGGTATTTTGAAGCTTTGGAGGTTTACTTGGCATGAAATCCTTGTTCTGATTGTATGGTTTGGGTTTGGTGGTCATAGGTAGCTATGCATCCCCCCTACACCAACATGCAAGCGGGGCATCACCCTGAAAGTTTCTTCTGCTGCTTTGCAGGTAGTCCCTCTCAGATCCTCACCCATAGGCAGCCTGTGGTCTGCTCTGACATGATTACTTTGTGTTTTCTAGAATTTCCTATAGATGGAATCATACAGTAGGAAGCCTTTTGGATCCCATCATCCTGAGCATGATGTCTTTGAGATGCATGCATTTTGTTGTGTGTTCCTTTTTATTGCTGAGGCATATTCCATGGTGTATATGCACAGTGTGTTTATTCATTCATCAGCTCAAGGATGCTTGATATTTGAAATAAAGCTGCTATGAATATCTTGGCATCAAGTCTTGGTTTTCATTTTTGAGGGATAAATACCAGGAGTGGTATTGCCAGGTTGTGTGGTAAACACTTGTTTGGAGACACTGACAGACTTCCCCACAGTGGCTGTGCTGTTTACTCTCAGCCCTGCTGTTCCACATCCTGACCAGCACTGGGAGCTCTTGGTGTGGTCTGTAAATGTGAGCCCTCTTTATGGGTGTGTAGAGGGATCTCCTTGCCACCATCACTGAATACTTTCCTCATGTTAACTGGGCATTCCCATGTCTTCTCTGGTTCAGTGACTGTTCAACCTTTTGCTCACCAAAAAATTCCATTTTCTGTCTTCTCATCGAGCCACCAGAGTTCTTTATGTATCCTGGATATGAATGCTTTGTCAGATGCAGGATCTGCCAGTGTTTTCTCCTGTTCTGTGGCTTGCCTTTTCTCTTCTCTTGTGACTTTGTCATACAGCTTGTGTGGGGTAGTGAACTTCATGCTGTTCTCCTTTATCTGTGAGGGGTACAGCTTCTCTCCTGCCTTCAGCTCCTTCCACACTGGTCCCAGCACTGTCCCATCCTCTGCCACTCAGTCTCCTACTGCCATGGCCTCGGAAACCTTCCATCTCAGCCTCTTCAACTCAGTAGGGTGGTCAGACTCTGTTTGGACCTCACCCCACACTGTGCCTGGAGGGCACCCTCCCCTTGGGCCTCAGTCCTGCACTCTCTGTTTCTCAGGGTCTGAATCAGTGGTTTAGATATTTGTCCAGTTTTCTAATTGTTTAAGGCAGGCAGGCAGGAAAATCCAGATCCTATTACTCTGTCTGGGCCAGAAGCCAAAGTCTTATAAATTAATTTTTTATCCTCTCTTGGAGTGGTTCTTATATTCATGTCCACCAATTTCCTGTTGTCAGCGTCACATCTTAAATAGGTATCCAGGATGACCGAACAGGTAGGAGCTCCTCTCTGCTTTTGTTCATGATAGAATGGGGGAGTGTGCTGCTTCCTTGGGGTGGATGATGGTGTCTTTCTGGCATCTCAGATTACTTTTGTCTTTATAAAGTAAGAGTTGAGCACTGTTTGGAGTTAGTTCTATGATAGGATGATGTGGTTAATACCAGTGAGGATTATAATTTCCAGAAAAAAAAAAAATCAGAATAATTCTAGTTAGAACAGGAGACTTCTGGAAGATAGTTGTACCACATTTTTTCATTTCTTTTCATAATAGATAGGTCATACCTTCAGTGACAAATTCAACTAATCGACATTTTAATATTTTTTTGGAGCCTGAAGTTACATTTTTTACTTGGTGAGGATATTTCATGTTGTTTTATATATTAAGAGATTCTAGTTCTGAATGTTTTTATTATTTTTTAGGGGCCTGGGAGGAGAGCTCATGAGACAAGCAGGTAGGTCTGAAGGCTGGAGACCACAACCTTTTATTCTCAAATTGGAAGAGAGAGATGTCCTCATCGTGTTCATGGCATCCCTTTAGCCTGTAAGGTTCATGGCTGGATGTCACAGCCACTGTGCTCTGGCTTGCTCATGTTCCCTTGAGACACTGGCCAGCCCTTGCTGCTGCTCCTGTAATATTGACTCACTCTAATCTCCACCTCCTGGTTTTTGGGATCCAGCAGCTGCGGGGTAGCCAGCTGTTGGGTGGCTTGGCTGAGCAGAGGCGCTGCTGGTCTTCCACAAAGGGGTAATGGCATTAAAGACATCCAGTGGTGCTTTCCTTTCCTTTTCGGTATGATATTTAAATTAAACATAACTACAGCAAAGAATACTTTTTTTAGATTATTAAATGTCTGCAGGGAACTCAAATGATACCAATAGTTGATTGATACCTAGAATTCCTGAAGCCTGTTTAGCTAAACCTGCTAGAAATTTCAGGTGCTTGTTCACTTATCTGGTGGACATTTGCCAGTTGCCACAGCGGTCCTGGCCATGCAAATGCATGGAGTTCCCTCACCAGGCGGGGGCAAGGAGCTGGTATAGGTGTGACAGGTGTACCCAGAGCATGTGGGATTTGGCCAGTGGGGGGACAGTCATCACTGCCAGTGCTGCCCTCAAAACTGACCTGTAGGCTGACTTGCCCTGGCAGAGGGGCCATCCTCCGCTTTCTACCCTCCTCCTTCAGCCCCGCAGCCTTGGCACTTCTGGAGGAACTTGGATCACAGACTGCTGTGGTGACTGGAAATACAGGGGTTTGGACTGTGCAGTGAGAGGGTGGAGCGTTTCAACATGTGAGACCGTATTCCAAAGATGAGGGCGCTGTGAGTCCTGAGCACCATTGGACAGCCCGTAGATATAGGCAGCTGTGGGCAGTGTTGCCCAGACAGGGGTGGGCGCAGCACGGCATGGCTGGGAGGACCCACTAGAGTGGAGGGTGGTTCTGTGGCTATGTGGGCAGTTATATCCCCACCCCCAGGTATGCAGGGGCCTGGGGGTGGGGATACAACTGCCTGCGTGTAGCATCTCTCTGCATCTGCACCAGGCCACAGGAGCACTGCCCTGGCCAGGGCTGGAGGTGCTTCCCAAAGTTGAGGAATGCCAGTCAAACTCCAGTGGCATCAACTAGGGAGAGAGGAGGACATGGTGGGATGGTCAAAGATCTGCTGGCTCTGGAAGCTTCTCAGGAGAAGCAGCAGGGAAGCAGCTGGGCCAGCTCTTGCCTGTTGATTCAGTGAATGTTTCAGGACATGCTGTGTGTGGTTCCGGGAGGGAATCCAGAGTAGACCCAGGCCTGCTCTGCAGGACTTGGGAACACAAGCACCAAGAGCTGCTTTTGGTGAGGAGGGAAGGATGCTCACAAGCCTGGTAGAGTCTAACAGCATTGCCCACCTTGCTGAAGGGTTCTTACAACCAGGCGGTGAACTGTTCTATCCTTGGTGCTTCTCTTTGAGAATGTGAGGAGGGAGGCATAGGACCCAGTGTAGACAGTTCCAACAGTGTTCAGATAAAGCCTGGGAAACAATTTCTCCAGATGTTCCTTAGGGAAACGACCAGACCTGAGGGTCTGGGGCCTGGGTTCCTACAAACATTGCTTTAGTACAGATGGATGGCTTGTCTGGTGTCTGAGACTTCACTGTGTTTAGCCCTTCACTTGGAAACTGTGAGATGTGGAGGGGCAACTAGTAAGGAAGTTTAGGAAAATGCCATTGTGTATGGACTTATGCTGAGAACTGTGTGGTCCGAGCAGGGGAGAGCAGGCACAGGGCTCTGGGAGCCCATGGCTAAAACATCAGGGCTGTGTGACCCTCTCATGCTTTGTGTCCACACCTCCCATCCTGACCTGATGGGGACTTGCCCCGAGGCCTGCAACCGTCTGCCTCCAGCCAGGTCCAGAGGGACTTCTCTGCTGAGAGGTGCCAGCTTGCATTTCTGTTGGTGTCAGCTCAATATTCTCATGGGTTTGATGGATGTCACTGAAAAAATACATCCTGGAAATGTGAATCAGTTTCTATCAGCTGACATATGGCAGGTAGACTTGCCAGTTCTGCAGTGATCCCTGTTGGCCAAGATCAGTACGTAGTTTTTGGATGTAGACCTAGTCATGGTCCCCAGAGCACAAATTGCAGAGACATCACCTTCCTGGCGTAACCTGTGGGTGACCTCTCTTCTCAGTGGGATTGAGGCTGTCTTCCAAGCATTGTGTTCCCCAAGCTCGTGACCTGTAAACTGGTTCTGGACCTCAGATGCTAGCTTGGTTTGGGACGGGGTGCAGTTGCTCTCAGAGGGTCTGCTGTGTACTTGCCCGTGGCTGGAGCCATGCTCTGGAGGCAGCCGTTGAGGTAGTCCTTCGACCTTTACACGACCTTCACGAGTGCCCTGTATGCTGCAGGGACTGCTTTTTGTGTCACTCTTGGTGTTTGAGCAGTAAGTTTGCACAGAAGCTCTTGCCCACCATGAAAAGAGGGAATGAAAAGGACATTTATAATCCCAGCAGCTAGAGATGCACAGTTGGTGCCTTAGTGATCCCTTCGGGTTAATGTTCCTTTACACATCTGTGCTTTATGAAGTTGGCTCACATCATGTATCCTGCTTTATAACAGTCTGCTCTTTTTATTTAATACATGGTTGGTAGCTTTCCGTGTCAATTAGACAAACTACTTCAGTGTTCTGGCTCCAGAGTGCCTGCCCTTAGATGTCCAGATTCAGGCACAGCCAGGCCGCTATTGGCCTGAGTGCTATCGCCACCTACCCATGACACGCAGAATTGTCCTGAGCTCAGGAAACAGGAAATGACTGGCAAAAAGCACAGGTATACACCATGTCTGTGCAGGATACGGAGCAGCTTGGTTCCCACAGTGTGTTAGGCATCATGTGCAGGAACGTTGTGTTTACACTTGTGGATTAGAGGGGGAGAATGTTCTTTTTTTGTTAATTACTTCTTGGTGAATGAAAGCCAATGTGTTTTGCCAAAGATTTTTAAAAAGGTACCAGTACTGCTATTCTGGTGTATGGCATTTGCACGCTGCCCCAGATTCTTGAGTGTTCTGCTCTGAAGGGTAGCTGTGGTTTGTGGTCTATAGGAGGAGGCTGTGTTCAGGATGGTTTCTATCTCCCCACAGCTTCTGCCCTCTGCTTTGGAAAGCTACCCGGAGGGGGCGCATCACTTGGGGGGGTATATCACTGGGGTTACTGTTGGGGGGATTATCAAGGTGCATCACTGACTGTGTTGCTGGAGCATGTATCATTGGGGTTGAAAGTTGGGGATTTCATTGTTGGGGCATGTGTTGTTGGGGGCCTCATTGTTGGGACATGTGTTGGGAACCTCACTGAGGAGTGCACTCTGGGGGGCATCGTTAAGTGGTCTTTGAGGGAATGCACTGCTGCTCTCTCAAGCCTGCTGCTGGCTTCTAGCTATTGTATTTGCTCAGAGGGATCACCGGGGGAGGGGGGGGTCAGGGGAGGAATGAGATGAGGAGATTGACCCCACTACCTCCACTGCCTGCATCCCTGAACCAAGGTCCCAGCTCCTGGCAGCCCCTTCTCAAGCCTCTCTGGGTGCTGGTAACCATTTGTTCCCCTCAGGGACTTGCCAAGGGGAAGCCTGCTGCTTCTATGGGGACCCTGACTGAGCTGGACTGTAAACACAAGTGTTTCTCCTCCTTGTTCATTGTTTCCCTCCTAGAAAGTTATTTTTCCTTTCAACTTTAAGTATAAATAGTTTAGAAAGTGAAATAGTTCTGCAAAGAAAGTTTCTGTATCTTGGCCCCATACCTCTGATCCAAAATTTGTATTAGTCCAGAGCCAACCCTTTCAGTTCTTTCAACTGTCTTTTTATCTCCACTAGTTTCCATCTTTCTAAGTTTCGTGCTCAAACAGCTGCTTTCTGACATCCTTAGTTTTAGGTGTGCTCGTTTAAATGAGACAAGATGCAGCTCCTGTCAAATAAGAAATCCAGTGGATTCCCAGCCTGCACATAGGGAAGTGGCTAGTATTCACCTTCTGTCTTAAGCCAGAATGCTGTGCATGTGTGTCTGTGAGGCATGTGGGTGAGAACGCTGTGCGTGTGAGAAGTTAGCTGCCAGTCTACATATTTCTCTATTAGAGATAATATTTTCATTTTTCCTGGCTTCTGAGATTTCATCCTTACCTGTGGTTTTTAGCAGTTTTACTGTAACATACCTAGAATGAATTTTATTTGTATTTATCTTATTTGGTGCTTTAGGGTTTATACTGGTTTCATAACTATAGTTTTTGTAGATATTTTGATCATTTTGGAAAGCTTCTCAGTATCTCTTCAAATGTTGCTGTTCTATCCTCTCCTCTACTTTTTGGGACTCTTGTTGTCTATAGCTCATTTGGATCATCTCATTTAATCCTTTATGTCTCTTACACTGTGTATAATTTTGTCTCTCTGATCCGGTTTGGATACTTATTTGGCTTTTATTCCATTGTCACTAATTCTCTTTTCACCTGTCATCTGCTATTAAGCTCATGCATAAATTCTTAATTCTGTTATTTTTATCTGTCAGAACTTCTATTTGTTTATTTTTTGTGGTCCTATGTCCTCATCCTTGTATTCAATAATTTCTTTCACCTCCTTGTACATACTAAGCATCGTCTAAAATCTGCCTAATAATGTCATCATCTAAAACTTCTGTGGTTCTGTTTCTAAAGGACTGGATATATAGTATATGAAAATTTGTAGACAGTCTCCATAAAGCCACAGGAAAAAAATTATAGAAATGCTCTGAGGCCTGAGAATGTTCTCCTTTCCCCAAAGACTTTACATTTGCTCTTGACAGGAGGCCAGGGGCGCTGGCAGTCTGGGGTCACCTCCATCCAGTTTCAGGATGTATGAGGATTGAGTAATGGGCTTCTGCCAGTCAGTCTGCAGTTTACACTTATATCTAGGGTTTGGTCCTTCGGGTTTAAGACCTATTGCAAAGGCATCACTTGTCCCCTAGTAGCTCTGGGCTCCCAAGTTTTGTCCTACTAGCCTTAGAATCTCTTGGATGTTCTGGTGGTGTTTCTGGATTTTTGACATGCCAGTCTTTGCACAAATTTTTGTTAATTCTCAGTGCTACATATTTTGTTTTTCATTTTGTTCAGCTTTTTAAAAATGTCTTGACTGGAGGATTGGTCTGTATTACCTACTCTGATAGTTTTAAAAATTACTTTTTATTTTGAAATAATTAAAGACTAACAGGAAGTTACAGAATTAGTAGTAGACCCTGTGCATAGCTCATGCAGCCTCCCCCGTGGTGATGTCTCACATAATAGCACAATGTCAGGTCCAGCACATTGGCATGGATGCTGTGCCACTAAGTAGGCTGCAGACCTACTAACTGGTACCAGTTTTTTTATTTATGTATGGTGTAGGCTTGTGAGTCTAGTTCTGTGCAAATTTGTGCCCTGTGTAGCTTTGTGTAACCAACTACACAGTTGATCAGAGACACAGGCCTGCTGTTTCCCACAAAGATTACCCCTCAACTTTCTTTCTATTCATACCTTGCTACCCAGACCTCAACCTGTGCTCTGTCCCTATCATTCTGTGCTTTTTAAAAAGTATAAGAACTACAATCATAAAAATCTTCAAAGAAATTTTAGGAGACATTATAGGATAATGTTTGTCACTAAAAAAAAAAAAAACTTCTTAATTTGGAAATTGTCAAATCTGCATGAAAGTAGAGGGAAACCATGTAACAAGCCTGTCTTTACTGCCTTGTCTTGTCTGTTCCCTCAGCATGTTCTGTCCAATCCCCAGCCCAGAATTCTAAAGCAGATCTTGGATATTAATTAAGCGGTAGTAATCCCTCCCTGTGTATTTTTAACTGGTGAGAACTAGTTTTCTGGTTCTTTTTTTTTTAACTTAAAAAAAAAACCTCATGTCAAATAACTCCCAGCTAACAGAATTAATAATAGTTTAACAGGCTAGAAACAAACATAAGGAGATAGTTATGTTTGTCTTTATATGAAAGAATATACCATGTATAAGGTTGGTAGAGAAAATATATATTTAGAGAAAACATCTTACTGCAGCTGAAAGATTAAAAGTTATATATAGGATGCAAAGACTTCTTAAAATTGCAAGCGATACAACAGAAAATTGGGCAAATCAGATAGTTGGGCATTTCACATAAGAGCATACCCAAATGGCCTGTAAGTTGATGAAAGGGTGTTCAGCCTCACCTAGTAGACAGGAAAACACTAGTTAACTTAATGATATGAGAACAGTTTTCATCTTTCAAGTTAGCTGCAACTAAAGCTGGGAAACTCTGGCGCTGACGGACACAGGTGAGGTGGGTGAGGGTTCTCTTTCATGGAATATGAATTGCAGTAGTCTTTGAGTTTGCCATCTGGCAGTATCTATCATGATTAGAAATTGCATGGTCTCTGTTTTGCAGTGACACTCTGGGGAATCTGTCCTTACTGGTGTAAAGGGGTAGACGGACCACCTTTGTGTCTGCAGCCATGCATCTGGCCACTTCGTGTGTAGTGACAAAAAGTGGTAGGAAAGCTTAGCCCATTGGGAGAAATATCGAATCAACTCTTTATATCCATATTATAACATATTATACATCTATTTTTAAAAGTACATGAAATTTTTCCTAGTTGATTACATTGTTAGATAACAGGTGGTAGCCAGAGAAATACACATGGTGTTGGTGTTGAGGGGAGTCACTGGTTCTGCTCAGGTGTCTGCCTCCTGCACCCCTGGCCCCACGTGGCAGGCAGGGCTATGTCTTCCATCATGGTTAGTGTGAGTTATGAACTCTGAGCAGATATGATGGATGTTACTTGGAGTTTGAAGTGCTGGAGGTGACACCTCTGTCACTTGGGTCCCTAAGTGACAGTAAGGGGTCTGTGTTGAGGTCCAGGAATCAGCAAGCTCCTTGTGTAGTTCCCTGACAGGGTCAGCCCAGGTCCTCTGAAGTACATGTAGGTCTTGTTACCCCAGCAGGGCCTGGAGCTCCTCCGTGTGTGGGTGGACCTAGAGATCTCTGTTCCAGCCAGGCCTGGAGCTCCTCATACTGCCAGGCCTGGAATTCTTTGTATTGACTGGGCCTGGAGCATGTTCTTCCAGGCTGCTCATCAGAGGAGTGCCCTGGGCTTGGTCGTGGTCAGGACAGATGGTTCTGGGATGTGTCCAGCCCTGGCAGTGGAGTGGGGTAGGTGGAGGCAGGAGGAAGCTGACTATATATAACGCAAAATGCAGCAAGTCCAAGGTATGTGATGGGCACTTTTGGAAAAATAACATTGCATTTATCTTTCTTTTTTCTAGTGTGCCTTTTAATAGAAAATTTGTCACTTTCCAAAATGCCTTTTAAAGGTGACACCATAATTGGTAAGTACATTTGTTCTTAATGACTCACAGAAGAGCATTTTCTCCTAGAATGATTTCAAATTAAAAAGTAAAAACAATCCTGTTAGTGTGGGTGATAAAGGACTACAGTTCAAAGGCTCATAGTATTAGAATAACTTGTCTTGACATTGCCACAAGAACCTGTTGTAAACATTGAGCATCCACCATCCTCTCCCCCGCAAACAAGAGGGGCCTTTCCCAGTTGCATCTTCAGCACTCCTGCCTATGGCTCTGCCCCTCACTGCTACACCCATTGTCAGGGGTTCTTGATCAGTCCTGTTTTCCAGGTGGATGGTTGGGAGCCCTAGTAACCCAGGCCCTCATGAAACAGAACAGTGCTGGCAGCCAGCACCAAGGACCCTGTGGGCAGAGGTGGTGCCATCCCCTCAGCAGCCCTGTGCCTGCTGGAACTGGCCAGAGAGAGTACAGTGGGAAGGGAGCTGCCTGGGCCTCTTTGTCTCCAGGCTGTCTTTGCAGCCTAAGAAGATACAGCTTTTTTTTTTTTTTTTTTTTAAACCGAATAGACTTAACATTTATTGGCTGGTGTTAGATTTAATTTAGTTGAATATTTGGGATTATATTGGTGGTAGCCAAGGGGGAGAGATATAGGAAAAGACTACTTGATGCCTGTAGATGTAATAAGAGAACAAAATTTTCTCAAAATGTGATGTTTAAATCACTAAGTTTGCAGAATGCTAGTATTTTCCACAATAAAAATTTTTTCTTAGCCGGGCTTGGTGGCTCAGCCTATAATCCCGTGCCTTTGGGAGGCTGAGGTGAGTGGATTGCCTGAGCCCGCGGGTTTGAAACCCACCTGGGCAACGAGACCTCATCTCTACAATAA